GGCCAGAGCTGCCAGAGACGACCTCGGCGTGGTGGGGTGTCTATCCAGGTCTGGACCACGGCGGAACCTTCAACAAGCCCAATGGAGGCGTCTGGGCGGTCTCGTTTGCCAAATGGATTCTGTTCACTCTCAAGGGGGACAGAGAAGCGGCCGAATACTTCAAAGGGAAAGGAGCTGCTGCTGATGGATGGGAGGTCAAAAGCAAGGCGTTGGATGCGGTGCCTCTCCTGACTTTGTAACATCTATGATACCGACTTGACAAATCATGGTAGGTCATGTGTCTTGCTTCTCTTGAGGACTGCCATGCCTGAACTTGGTAATTATGAAAACTTGTCTCCATCATTAGTATTATCTCTGAAGGAAGCTCTGCTGGTGCATGGTGATTTCGGCGGAACAAGTATCCCTTTGACTACTTTGAGATAACCAGCCAACCAGCCAACCAGTCTGACGTTGGATTCGCTGAACAAGGGCATAAGCAAACGCGGAAATGAAGCGTGCTGGCGTGTCAGCAAACCAGTGGCACAGTTTTGAGAAGAGACGACCAGCGAAGCTCCAACCAATCACCGTTTGCCAAGACCGGTAAGCGGCCGCTGACACGACCCCCGGCTCTCGACGAACAGCCCTATGGATGCTCACTTTCCCGGCTCAGCCACGCTGGAAATTCACCAAACCCAATGGCTGGCACCCCAAATTTAGCATCATCTGCATGCGGGAGACCCCAACTTCCGGGATTCAGGGCGCAGCCCAGCTTTGTAAAGATCTGCGAGATTGGCGCAGCGTTGTTGGGATGACATGTCACCACCTCAACAACCCTTTTCCATCTTTTGTTTATATACTGTCCAGTGTCCTCTCCCTTTGGCCATCGTCTCATTCGCATCATTATAACCAGCACCATAAATCCGGCACAAGTTTTACTTAAGAGTTCCTCATCTCACCTCATCACGACCACGATGCATCTCCCTGTCGTCATCAGCGCGCTCACTGCCCTGGGCGGCCTCGCAACGGCCATACCGGTTGTCTCGTCCCGCGACTCCCACATCGATGCCAGCGACTTCCCCAACCCATCAGCCGACCAACTCCAGACCATCTTCAAAGTAGCCGATGGCAAGCTGGGAAACGCGCCTCCTCCTCCCAAGCTGGACAAGGGTACCCTCACAGCCCTCCAGTTCGTCGCCTTTAACGAGCAGTTCGAGGTCGCATTCTTCTCGTCTCTCGTCAACAACATTACCCACGAGGTCGCCGGCTTCGAGTTTGAGAATGCCAAGAAGAAGGAGGAGCTTCTGGATATTCTCGAGACCGTGCTGGCCCAGGAGAAGCTCCATGCCATCAATGCAGCCAACTCGCTGAAGAAGTTCGAGACCTTCGTTCCTCAACCGTGCGAATATCGGTTCCCTTCCACCACCACGAAGCAGGCCATCCAACTTGCCGAATTGTTCACAGCTCTCGTTCTTGGGACACTCCAAGACGTCGCTTTCCTTGCTGCCAAGAACGGCGACGCCGGTACTGTCCGTGGGGTCACCAGCTCGCTCGGTCAAGAGGGCGAACAAGAAGGTTTCTACCGCATCCTGCTTTCCAAGAAGCCGTCCGAGAAGCCCTTTTTGACCACCAACGTTCTCCCGTTTGCCTTTTCTGCCCTTCAGCAGTTTGTTGTTCCTGGCTCTTGCCCCTTTCCCCTCAAGGACATTCCACTGCCCATCTTCCCCATCCTGAACGTCCTCACCGGCAGCGGGGAGTCGGCGATTGAGAGCCGTGATCAGTACTTGACCTTCAAGACTGACCTGTCCGGGGTCGAGGCCGCCAAAAAGTACTACAACGGCAATGGCGAAGGCCTCTACATCACTTACTTTTCCGGTCAGCTGGTTCCCTTCAGCGTGCCCATCCAGAACGTCAAGTGGTCTGGAGAGACAGTCACCTTCGATGCCCTGCTTCCCTATGCTGAGAACCAGATGGACGGTCTCTCGGTTGCCAGCTTGACGACCAACAACACTTTCGCTGCTCCGGGTGATGTTCCCAACTTCACCTTGGCGGCTCCTGGCCTGATCCAAGTCGCCGATCGCACCAAAGCTTGGGACGGCATCTAAGCTTGATGGAGCTGGGATATTGCTAATGTCTTTATCAATCCCTGTATATACCCCGACTAAAACTGCATCCACTAGATGAGGCGTTTGTTTTGTTTCTCTTGGGCTCATATCATTTGCATCGGGCATGGAGTCTTCGCGTTTTGTTTTCCCAAACCTGTATATGTAGCATTGTAGTCACTCATAGACTGATAGTCCTCCATAATTAATCATAGTTATTATTTGAATGTTCAATAGAAGCATTCTTGCAACTTTCAATCAAGGAGAGGTGTCCCATGTCAAGCCTTTGGGCTGTCCACACCGGCAGGCCCCTGCAATTCGATGGCATCGACAATGTAGTTGGCGCTGAGGAAGCTGGCATCTCCAGAGCCAAGCACTCCAACCGTCAACGTGTTATCTCCTTCCTTCACCGTCCCTGTCGGCAACTTCCATGTGTAGACCTCGCCGTACCCGCGATAGGCGCCTCGGGTCACCCCGCGGGAGTCGATCAGTTTCTGTGGTCAGGTCCACTTTATCAGTTCATCTTTCATGCCAGCTCATGCTGCAAGTGGAAACTTGGGATCCACATGACTCACCGGAGCGCCTGGATCCTTTCCTTGCCAGCTTCCAATCTTGACACTTGGCCTCCCGCCCTTGAAGGACAAGGTCGTGCCCACCCTCAGAACCAGGTTATCCGAAGTGGCTTGTTCCTTAGACACCTTAAAATTGATCGTGGCAACGCCGCCCTCCTTGGCAAACAACGCCATGGGAAAGTCCTTGGGCAAAGACTTTCCAACCATGTAACTGCCTCCCCAAGTTCCCATCCGAACATCAGAGGGATGCATCCTTTCGATCTTGTCCCCGTTCTTGAGCTCAAAAGGCTGCCCATCGAAATTGCCAATTCGCCACACGACAGAAGGGTTCGGGTCTGTCGAGGCCATGTCCTTGGTTGCTTTCCCTCCTGCAGTGATGGTCACGCTGTCTTGGGCGACGAGGTATTCGCCTCGGTAAAGCTTCATTGTGTAAGTCCCTGGCTTCATCAGCGGCGATGCGTAGCTCCCGTTGGTCGGAGAAGCTGTCGTCCAGTACTGCGCAGCCTTGTTGGACCAATGAACTACGGCTTGGAAAGTGCTTGGAACACCGGTGGCAGAGCCCGAAACACTGCCACGTTTGCTGGCCGGGACGTATCCTTGGATGGACAGCGATCCGAAGAAGCTTGTATCGAGGTTGGCCGAGGGTTGTGCTCCGGTTCTACAGGTACACATCGATTAGCTGTGCCATCATGGGTCAGATCTCGTAACTCACGTGAATCTCATGGCATACGGCCCATGGAGTCCGAAGCGCCAGTCCTCAGTTCTGACATGTCCGCTGTTCATGTACCAGTAAAGCTCTTGATCATCTCCGCTCTGAGTGTTGATGTCCCTCATGAAGGGGCCGCCAGAAGAAGTCTCATACGCCACTCCAGGCATCGTCAGCCAGATACCCACATTCTTTCCAGTCACACCGTGGACTTGATCATCGATAAACCGGTCCGACGTGTACATCTTGCATCGAGTCTGCCCATTGGGACACTTGAAGGTATCCTTGCCTTCGAAGGCCTGACATCCATCGAGGACACCGGCGTCGCCATGCCAACCGTTGGGGATCGCAGATCGTCTCAGTCGCGCAAGCCAACGAAGCTCCCCGGGATTGATCTCGGCTGTGATGTAAGTGCCCATGTATATCGTCGGCTCGCTGGGCTTGGCCACATAGTAGTGTGTCAATGGCTGCGACTTGGACACCACTGTGATCTTGACGTAGCCGTTTATCGTCTCTCCCGTGACGGTAGAGGTGCCCAGTCCAGAGTTGAGGGCCGACATCTTTGACGTTCCCTGGTATTGGACCCCGTTGTAGAGGAGGCTGGTGATGTCGCCATTGCTCCTGGTCATCGTGTGTCAGTCCCAAACATGACATAACAACACACTACGTGGACACTGCATACTTGCTAACCTCAAAGATCAGGCCTGCATTCGTGTCGACACTGAATGAGTTCCCTTTTGAGGTGAGACCAAAGGCTGCATGTACCGAATGTGCCACAAAAGGCACAGCCGCCAGAAATAAGAAGTGAGATCTCATGATGAAGACACCGTGACCTGGCCCGATGAGAGAAGTATACTCCATTTCATGGGCCCGGCACCTGATATTTGAACCATCGTCGGCTTTACCCGCATCGACATTCCCATGACCCGGATAAATCCCATCATGACTATATTACAACTGTGTCACAGTTAGTAGCGTTTTATGATCCGGCCTTTGTTTTCCCGCCTGTCAGACCTTCTCCAGATATTCTCAATAAAGGTTATGCAGGGGGTTGTTGCGGTCGAGCGGATGATTGGATGCCGGCGACGAAATCGAGACATCCAGTCCCTCCGATTCCAACTAAGCTCGGCAAAACAGTACTGACAAAGAGGAAACATGGGATATATCTAAGAGGCCCCTAATATACAGGCACCGGTCCTCTCATATACAGGCACTAGTCCTCTTATATACAGGCACTACTCTTGTTGGAATAAATGCCTTAACTAGACTTAATAAATGCCTTGACTAGACTTAATAAATGCCTTGACTAGCTGGAATAAATGCCTTGACTAGACTAGAATAGAGGCCTTTACTAAATAGTCTAGATTGGAATAAATGCCTTAACTTACTATAATAAATACCTTGACTGGCTAGAATAAATACCTTGACTGGCTGGAATAAATGCCTTAACTGGCTCGAATAAATCCCTCTATTCTGCAAAGTCAAAAGGACTAGTGCCTGTATATTAGGCGCCATCTAAGAAAGTAAGGGATAAATAAAGAATGAGAAGGAGGCTCGTTTGCAGGTTGTAGTGATAAAAAGGAGATGCAAAATAAACCATCTTAACACCAAGTCAATTGATGAAATGCCATGTAAATGAAACAACGACCCACGTGCGGCTCGAACGCACAATCTCCAGAGTGCATCTGCTTCTTCGAGAATGACCTCGAATCCACCGAAATCTGGCGCCTTACCATTTGGCCAGCGGGCCCTCTTGCTTTTGCATGTGTTTAATGCATTTGTGCAGTTTATAGTATGTGGCCTGCTGAGTCAAAAGTGTGTGGAACCGGGTAATGGTAGAGGTTCCACAGGCAGCAGCGGTGACAAAAAGGGGTCCTTATTTGTTTATTTTGGAAAGGGGGAGAGTTACACCTTGCCAGGCACAATCTTCAAGTCTGGGCAGGCAAAAAAGCAAACAGCGAAATTCCGCCAAGAGAAAATGCGTCAACTCCTTATTTTTCTCTCTGTCCCTGGTCTCTGTAGGCGGCCCCCGGCGGTGGATAAAAGTGGCATGATGCCCCCATGGAAGCGATCGGTCGCCCCCACGTCGCATCGAGGATTCAAGATCAGCAAGCAGATATTTTCCAGCATTGTCAGTGGTTGACAGACACCCAAACGAACGATATCGGCGCCTGTATCAGCCCAACAGCAGCGCTTCTGGTCAGAGTCTAGGCCCTCGACGTGCTTGGCAGGAATATCGCTCACCGTTCCAGCCACGTTCTCGGCCCATAACGTGATAGGACCGGTCCGACGGCTCGTAATAGAGGAGCGATAGGGCAATCCCGCCACGGAAAGCCCGTGACATTCCAGTGCTCGACGAATGGCTTGCCAGCCAGAGGCTTGGAATAGCTGCCAGAGCCCCAGATAAGCGATTCTATGGGGACGCCTTCCTCCTAGAACGACGAGCCATCACGATCATCTCGCAATCGTCGAGTGAAAAATACGAAGTCGACGGGACCGACAAATAACATAAATAAACAAGACACGGCCGTCAAAATGCCTCAACACATTCAGTCCACTTGGATCCTCCAAGATACCTGTATTATACGGTTTCAACATACACCCCAATCCTCAACACTCTCCATTGACCACAACAACAAGCCAACATGGCAAGGTTTCTTGGCTTTCGCGGCAAGTCCCTAGAATGGGCACTCAACCTCAGTGTCATTCTTCCATCGTACATTCTGTAAGCCTTCCATTGATCCCACCGAGATATCGGACACGACAGGTTCTAATACAGCTTCACTGCAGGTTCGGATACAACCATGCCGTCGCCGGCGGTCTCCTTACTCTTCCAGCCTGGACAGAGACGTTCCCATCCATTGACACAGTCAACACCACGGGCGAGGCCAAAATCGCCAACTCCACTCTCCAAGGCACCGTCATGGCGATTTACACTCTGGGCTGCTTCTTCGGCTCTCTGAGCTGCATCTGGGTCGGAGATCGTCTCGGAAGAAAACGAACCATCATGCTTGGTGCATTCATCAACATCCTTGGCACAGCCATCCAGAGCACGGCATTCACCATCCCGATTCTCACCGTCGGCCGCTTGGTCACCGGCTTCGGCTTCGGACACATCACTGCCACGGCGCCAAATTGGCAAGCCGAGTGCTGCGGTGCAGCCCATCGCGGTGCCGTAGTCCTCCTCGAGGGCGTCTTTATCAGTCTTGGGCTTGCCATCGCTGCCTGGGTCGACTTGGCCATGTCCCAAGTTCATGGTTCATCGGTCGCGTGGAGATTCCCACTCGCACTGTCGGCACTTTGGGCCATCATCGTTATCCTCGCAACTCCGTTTAATCCAGAGTCTCCTCGCTGGCTGGTCAAGAAAAATCGCATGGACGAAGCAAAGGTCGTCTTGGCTGCGCTCCACGACCAGGAGGAAACCGGATCCGAGGTTACGGCCGACATTGAGAACATCCAAGAGTCGCTCGCCAAGAGCTGTGAGGCCAAGTTCAGCCACCTCTTCCACAACGGCGTCGGTGGTCAACGACTTCTCCACAGGACATTTCTCGCCTGCCTGATCCAAGTTTTCCACCAGCTCTGCGGCGTCAACTCGCTGACCTTCTACGAGGCCACAATCTTCGAAGACAACCTCGGCCTCGCCAGCACAGCTGCCCGGATTCTCGCCGCCTCGGTCTTCACCTTCCAGACAGTCCTCTCGCCAGTCGGCGTCGTCACTGTTGACCGGTTCGGCCGACGCAAGCTGATGATGTTCTCGGCCGTCGGCATGGGATTGTGCATGGCAGCCATGGCTGGCTCGACATCTCAGCCGCACGGGAACATGGCTGCCACCGCGGTAGCCGTGACCGCCATATTTCTCTTCTCCTTCTTCTTTCCTATTGGCTTCCTTGGTCTGTCATTCCTCTACGCCACCGAGATGGCGCCCCTGAGCCACAGAGTCCCCATCACGGCGCTGTCCACAGGAGTCGCGTGGATCTTCAACTTCCTCGTAGCCGAGATCACCCCCATGGGTTTCGCGTCCATCAAGTACAGATACTTCATCGTCTACGCGGCACTGAACTTCTTTTTGATTCTCCCCTGTGTCTACTTCCTCTTCCCAGAGACAAATGGGCGGAAGCTGGAGGAGATCGATGAGGTCTTTGCCAGCGCTACCTCTGTGTTGACTACCGTCAAGGAGGCCCACCTTGTGCACAAGAGGCACCTGAACTCGAGTAGTGAGGAGAGCAGCAATGGGGAGCTGGGTAAAGCCCATATGACCCAGGAAAGGAGATGAAGCTACTAGTAATGGGGTTCATTTTTGCGGGTTCAAAAGAAAGATATGAATAATGAGTCATGATGGAACGACCTTTTTCTTGGGTTTAGACTGTCCTATAGATGGTTAGATGAATAACCCGATATCAACATGTCGGACATAATACCAGTAATTAGACAAATGAAACAAATAAGCTCCATGTACTGAGTGCTTAACCTATTGCCTGACGAACCCCACAAGTTGACTGTTCTAGACTTGAAGTCTCTTCTAGCTTCTGCGTTCGACACTGTTCCTCGGCGATTGTACAGAATGATATGACTCTACGGCAGAAAAAGACTTGATACGTATCTTTCCACGTGCCTTCTTATCTCCAGCTGTTCACACGACCGAGTGTGTGTCCTTTGACAAGTATCACGAGGTAGGCAAAATCACGAGTTTTGTTTCTCTGTTCGTTTGTCTTCGTCCGTGTTACCAGCCCTTACACCCAAAAGACGGTATTTCATGTCCTGAGGTACCGTCATCTAGGTCTCGACCCCGACCAAAAATGAGATTTACCGGTGAGGAGGATGGAGGGGACGATAAAGAGATAAGCAACCACAGCTTCAGCCAATGGCGTACCACTTTGATCAGGAATCACCAGCTTCACAGATCTCCCATGTCGATCGCGACAATTCTCCTCTTCTTATCGTCGTCGACCCCCACATCCCCACTTCACGCTGTTGGAAAGCTGCAAGTCATGCCAGTGTGCGTTAGAATGGGGTGAAAGTCCGGACCCAAAGGTGTTGAATGACGTTCACAGGCCTTTGGTTGGTTACTCTACGCCTTCAAAATTCCGTTCGATGGTCTCAATTCCATGTCAGCGATAAGCCATCCGTAACTGCAATGTAATGTTTACACTACACCTAATTGGCTTAGTGAGCTTACGTGGGCATGTCTGCCAATATGATGACGATTCTTATATATATGGGATCCGGACAATCTGTGTTCACTATCTCGGCATAACAGCTCATTCAGAACAACTTAGGACAGGTTCGTCAAGACAAATACCTACAACAAAAGACCCCAATCAACCATTCTGGAGTATCTCGTGAACAGGCAACAAGCGTCGACCTCAGCTCCACTCGGCGTCTTCTCTCTCCATCAAAATGGCAGACAAAGATGCCGTTACAGACCAGGACATGGCGATTCCTGTCAGCGAGAAGATGGATCTCGAACGAGACAGCAGCGCAAGCAACAAAACTGCTGAGCCCTCGTTGAGCATCGGAGAGGACGGCATTCAGCCACACACGCTCGCATCCATCGACCCCAAGCTCGAGCGCTCCGTCGTCTGGAAGTTTGACCTCCGCCTCCTGCCTGTCCTCGCAGTAATGTACCTGTTCAACAGCCTGGACAAGTCCAACCTGGGAAACGCAAAGACGGCCGGTTTGGAGAAGTCGCTCGGGCTCGACGTCGAAAAGAACCAGTACAGCACCATCTTGTCCGTCTTCTTCGTGCCGTATGTTTTGACGGCTCCCTTTCTCGGTCTGGCAGGCAAGAAGTATGGTCCGAACCGCGTGTTGCCCATCATGATGTTTTGTTTTGGAGCATGTACCCTGTTGGTAGTTGCGGCGCATAACTTTGCGGGCATCATGACGTTGAGGTGGTTCTTGGGCATGAGTGAAAGTGCCTTCTTCCCGCTGGTTATTTACTATCAGACCATGTGAGTCTCGCCGTGCCTAGGTACTCTAACTTGCCTGTTGGCCTAATGCTGTGAGACCAGGTTCTACCGACGCGGTGAGCTCGCCCGACGACTGGCCATCTTCTATGCAGCACAGTCCATCGCCTCCGCATTCGGCGGTCTCCTCTCGTTCGGTGTCTTCCAGATCCGAGGCGGCACCCTCGAGCCGTGGCGATACCTTTTTGTCATTGAAGGGTCCTGCACAATCCTCTTCTCCTTCTTCTCTTTCTGGTATCTGCCAAAATCAGCCGGCGAGGCAAAATTCCTCTCCGAACAGGAGCAAAAGGTTGCCTTTCAGCGGATCCAGCTCGACTCGTCGAGCATAGTCAACGAGAAGCTTGATATCCGCGAGTCCTTGACCATCTTCAGGCAGCCCACGTCGTGGATGATCCTGGCGATTCAGATATGCCTCGGTGTTCCGCTGCAGAGCGTGAATCTGTTCTTGCCGCAGATCATCACGCGATTGGGATACAGTACTGTAAAAACGAACCTGTATACTGTTGCTCCGAACGTGTCAGGTGCCGTCGTTCTGCTCATTCTCTCCTTTTTGAGCGATTACACGAGATTGCGGTTCCCCTTTGTTGCCATGGGCTTTCTGTTCACCTTCATCGGCATGGTCATCTTTGCGGGCATCGACGTGGAACATCAGCTGCAGGTGGCCTATTTTGCCAGCTTCATGATGACATGGGGCACCTCGGCGCCGAGTGTGTTGCTGGATGTGCTGTACAACAACAACATTGCCAACGAGAACAAGCGGGTATTGTTGACCAGTGTTGCCGTG